ACAAACCCAGCTCCTCCCTGAGAAACTGCACTGGAAAATAAGAAATCCCTCGGTTTGGGGTGGAAACTGCCAGCCAGGGATTGAGCCCTCGGGCACAACACAACTTCCAACCCTGAGGATCCCAAACTCCGGTTTGAGAGGCCCAAACCCCAGGTGAGGGGGGGCAAGATTGAGGATCTCAAACGTGGGAGCCCCCCAAACGCTCTGAAACTCCCCCAGGACCCTCCAAATTTCCCCTGAACCCCAAAATTCCACTGAAATCCCCCCCCAGGATCCTCCAAATCCCCCCAGATCCCTCAGGGATGCCGTGGGGGTGTCCAGGACAGGGCAGGGCACACGCCAGGTTTCCCAGCCCATTGCTGGGAAAGGCAGAACTGAAATTCCAGTGCTGAAAGGCAAAGAGGAGCGGCTGGCAAGGGACAGGGAGGTGCAGGAGGAGGCCAGGCAGGAGCTGGAGGAGCAGGAGCCCTGCAGCAAGAGGAGGAGATTCCAAGCCTGTCCAAAGGCAGTGAAACACCTGCACTGCAATTCCCAGCTGAGCCAGATCCCCAGCTGGGGCTCCACATCCCTTCCAAATCCTAATCCTGCCCCAGGAGGGGGACAAGGGGAGCCCAAAGGAGCAGCGCTGGCCCTGATCCCCCTCCCCAGCTGTTGTTCCACAGTGCTGATCCCATGGGATGGCCGTGGGAAGATCCCAGGCAGCAGGATCCATAAAAGAGCAGCTCCACCTGCTTCCTTCAGCCCCTGCACCCGCTGCCAGGGCCCAGCTTCCCCAAGGAATGTCCAAGCTGTTTCCTCCCTGGGAGGGTTCTGCTGGTCTCTTGTACCATCACCCCTCTCCCAAGACCCCTCCCAGCTTTCTGGGCACAGCCACACAAGCTCCTGTTCCCCATTTCCCACTGGGGGAACTTTCCCCAAGTACCCTCTGCCTTCCTGGTGTCCCCAGCACAAGCTGGGGCACCCCAGAGCCCCTGAGGCTGTAGGTGGATCCCAAAGTGCGGGTGGAGCGCACATGAAATACAAACAGCCAAAATTCAGTGGGGCCTGTGAGGGAAAGCTTGCCAGGGGTGCAGGGTGAATCCAAGAGCTCCCAGGATCAGTGGGATGGGAGCTCGTTCCTAGAGCAAACCCCAGTTCTGTCCCAGGGACTCAGCCAGCAGCTCCCCAGGATGGATCACAGCCTGTGCTGGGCATTCCCAGCTCCCCAGGATGGATCACAGCCTGTGCTGGGCATTCCCAGCTGCCCAGGATGGGATCACAGCCTGTGCTGGGCATTCCCAGCTCCCCAGAGGAGGATCACAGCCTGTGCTGGGCATTCCCAGCTGCCCAGGATGGGATCACAGCCTGTGCTGGGCATTCCCAGCTGCCCAGGATGGGATCACAGCCTGTGCTGGGCATTCCCAGCTGCCCAGGATGGATCACAGCCTGTGCTGGGCATTCCCAGCTGCCCAGGAGTGGATCACAGCCTGTGCTGGGCATTCCCAGCTGCCCAGGATGGGATCAGGGTGCAGGAAGGATGTCCCGGCTTTCCAAATGCTGAGAGGAGGCTGGAAGCAGCTGGATCCACCCCCAGCCCCAGCCAGGATCCGGATTGTGTCTGGATCTCCACTCTGGGCTGGCCACAAGGTCCCAGGCTCAAGCGGAGCAACCTGGGAGAAGCACAAAACATTGCAGCTTTAGGGCCAGG